AAAGGTGACAAGTATAAGTTCCAACTGAGATCTACGTGATTCAAAGCCACAGTCTCCTCACGAAATAATAATTACAATGTTATGTAGGGTTTACACCTCGGAAACACTTGCCCAAGGATTGGAAAACCACTTTTAAAGGTCAATTATGATAGTATTGAATCAGACTCTGATTCACATAGTGCATCTTTTCCTCAGACCTCCGAAAACACTCAACAATTTATCCTCATGGCATATCCTTGAGGCCAGGAGGAGCAAGTATTATTTTACCAGATGTGGAATCTGGAAGAACAAAGAGATTCTGCAGTTTGCTCAAGGCCATAAAGTTACCAGAGAAAGAAAATTAAAATCGAGGTCTTCAGATCCCTGGCCTAATACTTATCTCCGTTATGAATGGCTGCCTCTCATCAAGTTGACATTAGGCAAACTCTTTGAGGAATAAACTGTGTGTGTGTGTAATAATAATGATAATCATAACAGCGGCTCCTCTGCTGAGTGCCCACCACGGACTGACTTCCTGTACGTTATCTGTAATGCCTGTGTCCCTGTAGAAGCTTAGACTGTGTGGCTGTCTTGCTCAAGGCCACCAGCAATGTGATAAAGCTGGGCATTCAGATCCAGGGTTTCTTAGCTTGAAAGTCCAGATTTTTTACATTGATGTGGGTGTAAAATACGATTCCCAAGTCCCAGGCAGAATATAGATGGTATTATTCACTACTACAATAAGTGATATTTCTATTCCAATAAATGAATGCTGGCGGTGCTTTAGGTTGTTGTGAAGATTAAATGATTAAATTTACATAAAGTGCTCTAGACCAGTACCTCGCATCAAGTAAGAATTTACTAAATGGTGATAATAATGGAGGTGACAATGGTGTTCAAAGGAATTGTTTGAAAGGCATTTGACATATATCTCATGAGGTTTGGTTCCACTAAACTAGCCACACACAGGGTCCTTGTACCAACATAGCCATCCTCCTCTCCTGCATCAGGTGTTATTTACCTACAGGTGTGTGTGTTTGTGTGTGTGTGTGTGTGTGTGTGTACACATCCCCATAATCACTCAAAAACACTAAGACATAATTATTGAACAGTGATTCGATGGTGAGCTAACGTCAGGGCACAATTTGGGAGTAAGAGACTTGATCCTTGTCCTTAATCTGAAGTTCCAGTGTGGTCGGAAAGGCTAAAATGAAGTAATAACAACTTAAGTTATGTAGATAGTTTCATCTAGCACCCCGCGCGCAGTAGGTCTGCAGAAACATCAGGGAGTGAATGCTTTCTAAACGGTGGAATTCCCACAAAGCAGGAAAGGAATTTGCAGGGGGAGTGAGTGGTCAGTGAAGCTGGAGACCATCTTCAGGTAATTGGATTTGGCCAATTACCTGATTTACTGATAAAGGTCAAGGCTGTAGATAAAAGTGAGACAGTGTGACATCTATGTTTCTGCAAGGGCACTTGTTTGAAAGAGCTCGCTCTCGAGGCCGACTCCAAGTCGCATCAGGTGCCTCATCTGAGATCATGCTTTCATCTGATTCCGGAAACTCTTATGAAATACAAAATCGTCTCATTATTTTGACCATTTAAATGGCATGTGACATGAGTTTCAGAGCAATTCTTTTAAAAATTCTCTTTCTTCGCCGCCCTCTATAAACTGTCAAGGAAGATGACCATTTTAGCTGAAGCTATTTCAAGGTTTTATTGCCCACCCATAAAAATTGGCATGATATTGAACACTAAAATGACTTGGCCAATGTGTGGCAATTACATTTCATTAAAATTCCTAGTACGCTTGCCACTAAGAAGATTGTCAAAGCCTCTAGCTAATTACTCTATCTAATAGGGTCTATGACTTATGCAAAGGGTCCACGGGATAGAGAATAATTGGCATTTTTGTCAGTGGCTCTTTAATACAAGAATGTATGTAGGTATATGTATAAATGTAGTGTATGTGGGTACATGTGTGTGTGCATGTGTGTTCACATGCATGCACATATGTATTTGATTTTGTACATACATCAGCAGTGCCAAGGGCAGTGCCAGACCTCAGGTGTGGTTAAATTCAACCCTTCAGGAAGGAAACAGCCTTTCCTCCTATCTCTCTCCCTGAGGAAGTCAGCAAGAATTTGGCTAATGGAAAAATGCAGGTCATATTCTAAATAGGCTAAGTCACTAAAAATTCTGCCTATACTTTTGTGCTCTACAAGAATCTACTTGTACCCTCAGCTCTTCCAGGCCACCCCCAACCCCCAACCCCCACCCCACACACACACACAAAGGCAGAATTTTTTAACGCACTGTGGTTATAAAACTAAGGAAGGTTTTCACCATAGTTGTGTGTTTTAAACATTAGTTTTTGTACTGAAGTTGAGATAAATTGCAACCACAAAAAGACAAAAGGCCATTATTTGTCCAGAATGAAGTTAGCCAATATTTCTGTCCGATAGAAAATACAGCAGTTCATAAGCTTCTACGTGGCTTGAATTGTGAATCCACCAATGGCTTCCTTTGCTACTGGAGGCATGAAGTAGTCACTTCTCATGTTTGTGAGTGTTTGAGGTAGAGATTACCCAGGTGGATAGATATATCTTAAACCATTTGGATTTGAGACAGATCTAGACAGACACTCAAGCACCATCGATTTCCAAACTTTATAGAACTATGAAAGGTTATTTATTTTGACAACGATTTCACCAGCACGAATTCTACGTGGCATATAATTATTTCTTAATACACTTGTGTATGAGTCTCTGACAACTTTTTTGAGAATTTCATGGCACCTCCCCAAGCCGATTGGGCATATGTAGGAATGCTACAAACCCAGGCTTGGAAATCCCTGGTCTCCGCATTAAATGGCAGAGCCGTGGGATAAGAAGACTCAGTTCTGTCACTCGTCAAGTCACTGTGGGACGAGAGTGAGAACTGGTTTAGCCACGAGCTGCTCACGTGTGCCGTTCGGCTGCCGTCATGTTCGGGCCTGGCTCCGTCAGCACTTTTCTTGACCCAGATCCTTTTCACGCGCACGCCTAAAACACATGCACCCGTCTCAAAGACTCATCCATCTGAGCTCCTGAGACCTAAAGCTATTCCTCCTGCCCTTTTCATGGGATCCGGCTGCAAAGAGGTCCAGTAACCAGATTTCGTGACTTTAAAGCAGTGTTTCTTGACCCCAGCTGCTCATTAGACTCACCAGGGGAGCTTTTGAAACTCCCATTGTCTGGCATAACTTCTGTGTGCCTAGTCAGGGCGACTTCATGGTTTGTTTGTGGGTTTTTTTTTTTTTGGTATGTTTGTTTGTTTTGGGGGGGAGGGTTATTGTTTTTTATTTAAATCATCTCTAACTTAATTAGTCCTTAGACCAATCTTATTTATGTTGCCTTTCACGGCTTTGTAAACAGGTAGTTAGTTGCCTTGGCTCTGAGCTCCTGCCTCTCAGGATGGAGAGGCTGAACATTTAAGACATTCTGTCCGAGCCACGAAAGAAAGTTGTAGCTTGATGTGGCTTGAAATAATCAAATTCAATAGCATCAAGAGTGTATAGGGGCTAAAGGGAAATCATGGAACGAGTTCTGTGTGTCTGAGATTTGGGAACTCTGTGGTAGAAACTCAAAGGCCACTGGCATAATTCAGCATTAATCGAAGGTGGATGACTCTGGAGGACAGAAAACAAGGCTGCACTCTGTCCCTCGGGCCACTGTGGATGGTGGCACACTATTTGGTACACAAGTGTCATTTGTCTGCTGACTAAGTCATCTGGGACCGTTGGTCAAACCTTGCCTTGTCTTAGGACACTTTGAAATCAAAACGTTACCCCAAATATTGTACAAGTACAACGAGGGGCTTTACGAGATTATTTTACGTGGTGCCTGAAAGAACGTCTTTTATTTAATCATTTTCTATGTTTTAACATATATTTGAAAATATATAGCTGAGACAACAACACATGATTTTACAATTGTTATTGCTTTGGCCACTGTTTAGAAATGTGTCCATTTAGAAATGTGTCCATCTAAACATAATTACACACAGGCGATACTCATAAAAGACAAAAAGTTTGATAACACTACACGATAGCATGTTGTGATAACCATGATCAACTTAAAATTAAGGTCGGTATTTTTTCTGCATCCCCAGTTAACATTTTAGGGAGGAAGAAAGGGGAGAATAAAAAATGAAAGGAAGGTAATTAGGTCTTTGAGATAGGGAGGACCCTATCTTAAAGGTAATTAGGTCTTTAAGATAGAAATGACCCCCAGGAGAAGCACTGATTGATTCTCAGGAAACAAGAGACACCTAGACCTGCTGCTGTGTCATAGGCATCCAGAACTAAGGTGGCTATATCTGCAGCAGTCCCTACAGAAGGCTCAGACTAGGAAACCCCATGCCAGCTCCCCGTGCACGTCTCTTGGGCAGGTGGATGATGTCTCTGGGAGCATCTTGCTCTGCCGGGCAAGGAAAGGCACGAAGGACAGCCAGACACGTCTGCTAACGTCTGGAGTGTATGCGAGTTGGCTCACCCCGCGATGGGCTCAGATTACACTCATCTCTGTCCCTCTCATGTGCCACTCTTCCTTCCCTGGCTTGCATTAGAAATTCGGGGGCCGAGGACAAAGCCTTCACTTTTGTTTTTCCGGAGAAAGAGGAGTCTGGGGAGCCAGCCCTGACAGCTGTGCTCTGTGCCTGGCGAAGGAAGGGCTTTCACGTGTTTCATTCAAGACTGTTGAGTCTGGATGCCCAGGATTTATATATTGATGTTGGGCTCTAGTGTCACGGAAGTAGTTCCGATTCCCAATGATTTTGTTGTCATGTGTATTTCCCTGCGACGAGAGATGTAACTAAGAGGACTGAGAGGCGACCTATTGCAGGGTCCCTTAAAAGCTTGCCTTTCTCCACGCGCTCTCAATTAACGGGGTTGCCTGCGCGTCTACACACGAACGCGGCAGTCCTCCGTAAAACGCACCTGGACCGGGGTCCGTAAGCTGCTTTCGCGTTGGCTTTTGCAGAAGTGGCAGTGCATTGAGGACACATCTGGCAAGCTTCGCATTCACAAGTGCAAAGGATCCGGTGACCTGCTCCCCGTCCGGCAGAGCACGCGGAACCTCTACTCCCGTGGCTTCCACGACAAGGACAAAGAATGCAGTTGCGGAGAGTCTGGGTACCGTGCCAGCAGAAGCCAGAGGAAGAGCCAGAGGCAGTTCCTGAGGAACCAGGGGACCCCAAGTAAGGCACACGTGGTGACCACCCCAGGGGCAGGCCCAGGCCTTAGAGAAAGGATCGAGAGGGAAGAAAGGCTCGCTCCTTCTGCATTTTACATGTTATCCATGCATAGTTTTAAGGCTCAAAGCAAATAATTGTTCTGTTTAAAATACAAAAGCTAAGATCATTTGAAATTTTGCTTTTTCACTTAAGCATAGAATGCAGTATATTCCGTGAAAGCAGCAGGCATAAAACATGCACGCACATAGACAGAAGAGCTATCAGTGAGGCAAAGGGTATTATAGTTCAGGTTAGTTTTGTTTTACCTCGATGCCAATGTCCTGATTGGTTTACCTTACGTTACTTTATAAAAACTCTTGTCAGACGCTCTGAGATTCCAATGATCGTGCAGACATTGAAAACCGGATCCCCAACTTTCATAAAAGAATGGGAGTCTAGTGCCATCTAGTGGCGTAAAATGAAAAGTGACTCATTTCTGTGGTTATTCTTTTCCATACTGATTTGGAAATACATAAAATACATTATTAAACTCAATTCCAAGTCCAAAATTAGGAAATCAGATCATTCACTGGAATAGTGGGAGCCCTTAGAGCAGGCTTTTTTTTATTATCCTGGATTCTACAGATGGACTTTAGCGGATCATGAACCCTCTAATATTTCAACCAAAAATTTAAATACATTCTATGTGTGTATATATATGCACATTTTTCTGGATGTCTGTTACTTTCAACAAGTTCTTAAAGGCGTCCATAATCCAAAAGGCTGAGATCCATTAACCTGGGAGATTTTCTTTCCTCCCTGACAGAAAATGCCAGGTTTAATAATTTGCACAAAGATGTCAAATGGAAAACCCACAAGGGACAAGGCCCCATGACACTAACTCTGGACAGAAGCCGATTACAATGTTCAGCTCAGAAGCGGGGGCGGCCTCTTCTCTCCCAGGAAGTCCAATGGTGCTCCCTAAGCACTGTTCAGAAAGCACATTGATTTTTCAATATTGAGCACAAACTGAAGAAGTCTGAGGCCCCTGTTTCTAGCCAAGAATCTTATGTATTTGAGAGCAGGAGGCATTTCCTTGTCTGAAAACTGCCATCAGAGCAGGATTGTGCAGAGGGAGGCGATTCTAATTCCTACCCCTCTTCCTGTTCTAGAGGCTCGGGAAAGAGGGCCACATGAGCACACCCACAGAGCCTAAGCGCATCTGACAAGCAGGGGCCAGTGTTCACATGTGAAAGCTCTCACGCAGCACACTACACCCTTGACAGTGGCCTATAGTGACCAGAAGACACGCTGGCCTCCCCTAGCATAACCCTCCATCTGCCGGGTATGAAAAGGCAGTTGGCTGATGAAAGCATTTGCAAAATTTAATTTTCCTCATAGCAGTCTTCTCTTATTTATGCAAATAGCAAGTGTCTACAGCATTTGCCTTTTTGAGAAAGCATCCCAACGTAGTAGGAAGATTTCATGGTGTTTAGAATCCGAATGACATAGAATGTGAACCTACTGTGTAACATTAAAAGCTTCAGTTTTCTCGTCCGCAAAATAGGAATAACAACACCAAATTCATGAGCCTGTTTGGACAATCTGATAAGTTTTTTTTAATGTAAAGATTTATTATACTACCTGTCTTTCAAGATTGTAGATTAGAGATAAGTATGATGAATAATGCATAGCAAAAGCTCAACAAATGATCATCATTATTATTACTATTATAATGGGGAATAGAATCTTATTCAAACAAACTGCCAATGTAGAAGTTCACAGTTAAGTGGAACATCTTAGCAATCCCCCAAGGCCCAGAGAAGCATGGCAGCCCTCACACGGGGATGCGGTGGCCTGGACCAGAGCCCACCCATCAAACCATGATGCAGAGGCATGGCCAGGACCGGAATGCCAGGGGCCTGTCCACGGCAGCATGGTGACCTTCGCAATGCCATGTGTACCGCTTGCCCCTGCCCACCATGCTCATCGAGTCAGGTGATCGCTTCCTTCTCTCCTCCCGTACATCTGAACCCCTGTATTGACGCATCCCCCCTTATTTCCAGAGTACAAGCCCAGATTTGTCCACACTCGGCAGACGCGTTCCCTGTCAGTCGAATTTGAAGGCGAAATATACGACATAAACCTGGAGGAAGAAGAACTGCAGGCGCTGCGACCGAGAAACATTGCCAAGCGTCACGACGAGGGCCGCAACGGCCCGGGAGGTCGCCAGGCCGCCGGCGGTGCCGACGGGGACACGATGCTGGCCCACAGCGGCAACGCCGTGGGCCTGCCCACCACCGTGCGAGTGACCCACAAGTAGGGCGCTTTGGGTGTTCGCGAGGCTCGGGTTCAAAATCATCCATCCCCCCCGTAGTGCCACCATCTGTCCCTTTACACAAAGTAAGGTGACTCTGCAAGGCGCTGCCCAGGGGCTGGCCTCGTAGGGCAGCGGGCGAAAGAAGCGAGGGGGAGCGCGGACAGGCGGAGGTTCGGGCACGTGCTTTGGGTTCAGTTTCACGTGAAGACTGACCCGCTGGGGACTGGCCAGAGCGAGTGTGACGCGTCCTGACCGAGCAGGCGTGGAGCTCGGCCACTGCGGGCGTCCAGAGCTCAGAGGGGAGCCGGCCCCCGGCCTGGGGGGCTCTTCGTGTCGCTGTGGCTCGGAGCAGCTGGGCAGTCACGGCCTCAGAGATGCAACAGCACAAGGGAGAACCGTGGGTCCTGGAGAAGCTTCCAGAGAGATGGTGTGGGTGGGGAATGGGTGTAAGATGCCGAAACACCTCCCCCCACCAGACCCCGGGAGCACCGAGGGCCTCGGGTGTGGGGGGACAGGGAAGGGAGACGGTTCCCCCTAGTTCCGACGACTCCCTCGGTCCTTAAGGCCCTTCCAAAACCTACCCACCCTCCCGACAGAGAAACACTTCCTGTCTGAATTTATTACTAAGATCTTCGTTCGCCCTGTCATGTCATCGCTTTGGGGAGGCGGGCGGGATGTTTCTCTCTGGGACGGGTCTCCGGGCGCCTGCGGTTGCTCTAGTTCCGCGCCCAGAGATTTAGACCAGGGTCCGATCCTCTTACGTTACTGATCCAGCCCATCCCCCTCCCAGACCCCCACACACACCCCCTAGACCCCCACAGCCCCCTCCCTCCATGGGGCTGCTGCTTTGCCTCAGACGTCAGGGGGCCTCTCAGGCAGGCTCTCGGTAAGGAAATGAATGGGATGGACAACCCCCTCCCAACTGCACTTCTTCGAACAAGCCCTTTCCATTATAACTGTGAAGACCCCGTCCTTTTCCTACAATATTTGATGGAGATTTTTGGTGGTATCTCTTCATGGGGACGTGAATCCCGAGAGCCACTTGGGAAGGCGATTCTAGTGGTGATCTCTCTCTGCCACCCTCCTGTGCCCACGCCTGTAGCCAGGACACAATCCCTCTCATCCTAGTTTGTGGCTCAGGTCCAAACTACCGCTTGCACCCAGATTAAGAGTTTAGAGGATAATTAAGTTCCCTTTGATATTTCTAATGTTTTGTTTTGTTTTTTTTTAAGTGTTAAAATATAAGCCTATTTCCAATGTTTGCTGTTTGTTTTTGCAGGTGCTTTATTCTTCCAAATGATACAATCCACTGCGAGAGAGAACTGTATCAGTCAGCTAAAGCCTGGAAGGACCACAAGGCATACATCGATAAAGAGGTGAGCCGTGGCTGTGTGAGGGGAGGGTCTAATCCAAAGGCAAACCCGGCTCACGGGCCCTACCGATGGGGCACACTGCGTGGACAGTTCATCCTTATATAATTATGAGACAAATACAATAGCAGGTGTTTCTCATTCTCCAGCGATAGAGCGAGAATCCTGACTGAAAACAAAATCGAGTGAGACAAAGAATGGGGATTGCCCGATGCCCTTTTGAAATCTTTACGAGAAAATAATTCGATTATTCAAGAGACATCTGCTCATGTTTACTGTAGCGCATCGGTTGCGATGTGGAGGTTAGATAGAGTCTCTGCTCAGTTTGTTTCCCAAGTGAATTATCATCTCAGATGAGCAACTATAATTACGGATCACAGAAAATAAGGCACTTAGCGTAGAAAATCCTGCTCTCGGGAATGTGATGGTTGGATTCCATGTTTCCCAGATCGAAGCTTTGCAAGATAAAATTAAGAATTTGAGAGAAGTGAGGGGTCACCTGAAGCGAAGGAAGCCCGACGACTGTGTCTGCAGCAAGCAGAGGTGAGCGAGCTTCCCCCCCACGCCCCCCCCCCCGGGCTCGCTGTGCACACGCGTCTCTCTTACCCATGGAAAGCGTAACTAAACGCATTCGTTATCGTGTCCTGTAATGACCTAAACTCTTTAGGTCAAATTAAGTATGTCATAAACCGAATTAGAAGGTTTGAAAAAAAAGTCCCCTTAAGCCGAGGTAGTTACTGCCTTCCTTCTATCTCGCTTTCTTTTTTATTTCTTTTTGATTTTTTAAATTTATTTTTATGGTGACATTGGTTAACGAAATCCAATAAGTTTCATGTGTACACTTTAACAGTAAGGCACATATATGCGTGTGTGTGTATATATATATATATACACACCGTGTGTTCACCTCCCGTGGTTAGATTTCTTTCTCTCTCCACATTTTTGACCCCCTTTACCCCAGCTACGTCTCCCCTCCTCCCTCCCCCCACGCTTTCTTTTTTATAAGATGTTTAGTCACATGCATAATTGTGAAGACTCACTCTTTCATCTTCTCGCCTGTAGCTATTACAATAAAGAAAAAGGTGTCAAAAAGCAAGAGAAATTAAAGAGCCATCTTCACCCATTCAAGTAAGTCACCCTGTTCTCACATTTGCTGGGAGTGAAGGACTGTCCCCTGGGCATTGACAGGCTGTAGGGACCCCTGCGTTCCGAGGGATGCTGCTTAGGAAAAGCAGCTTCAGGCGGGAAGGTGTCTGGCTCCAGAAGTTGAAAACAAGCTCACACCTTGCCAGGGGAGCAGGGCGATGCCATGGAGCCCTCCGGGGGGCTGGGCAAGCTCCACGTGAGCTCTTGTGTCGTATGTAACCGGAGATGACTCCACACGCGGCCGTTCATGCAGAGCGACTGGGAGGTGTGGATCCCCCTGGATTAGGTCACTGTGGTGGGCAATTCTGAAGGTGGAAGAAATACATGTATTTTTTTTAAATGGCAAATTTTGCATGAGAACGGGATTTAGTATTTGAGCCTCGACAAATTTTGAGCCTTTCCGGTGAAGCCAAGATAATAAAAAAAAGAAAATTCTTTCCAAGCCTAGATTGTCGAATTTATCAAAGAATTTTAGAATCCAAGCCATCTGGTCCAACCAGCCGTGGACTTCATGACTGACAGACCAGCACGTTCAGTCGTTCGTCCAAACCAGGTGGCCAGCAGGGTCTGCTGGTTCCTGTTGACATTTCCTTCCATCCATGTTTACATGTGAATGAGGAAGAAAATGTCGATGCTGTGAATGCTGAGTGAACTCCTCAGAGAGCCGTCACCCAGCGGATTTGTCCTCGCCGTCACCGATGGTGTCCGAGGGCCTCCGTGGAAAATAAAAGCCATCTACTATTGCGTATCTGCTGTCGTGTGTCTAAATATCTGTGTGAGGGTCCTAGCAACAATCCTACTTTTAACTGACGAGCAACAATCCTACTTTTAACCGAGAAAGCGCTTTCTGGCCACTAAAAAGCCCCTCTGATCGGAACAGGGAGGCCGCTCAGGAAGTGGACAGCAAACTACAGCTTTTCAAGGAGAACCGACGGAGGAAGAAGGAGAGAAAGGAGAAGAAACGGCAGAGGAAGGGGGAGGAGTGCAGCCTCCCCGGCCTCACCTGCTTCACGCACGACAACAACCACTGGCAGACGGCCCCCTTCTGGAACCGTGAGTCCCCCGTTCTAAACGCCACTCTCTGCCACCACGACGGGGCCAGCAGCTCACGCTACAGCTACAGCTACTGAGACAAGGAATTCGGCAGCATAGAACCAGGAGTCTAGAATCATTTTTCGGAGGGGCGGGCAGGGATCTTATTATTTCCTATATTGGCAACTAGAATCATTTTGCCCAAAATTACTTTTTTCTTTAGAAATCTTTGGGGGGTATTTTGTTTGAAAGCGTCGAGCTCTCCGTAGGTTTTTCTCCTGATATTTCACACAGTTCCTGCCCAGTAGGACTGCTCTATAACTAGATAACTAAATGGATGAATGAGTCGGGCCCAAACGTATTTCGTTCCTGCTTCATGTCAAGGGCACCGGAAGGGAGCGTGAGCTCCGTGACTGCGGGGGGCACGGCGTCCTGGTTAGCCTCAGTCCCCTTCGGCGCCTAGCACTGCGCTTTCAGAGTGAGGGGGACGCCCCGGAATATCTGGTTTTACATAGATGTGGCTGAGGATATGGAATAATCACAATTGTGCACTTTTAAAATCAATGCTTAGAGTGGCTTCAGTGGTCTGCACACAGCATTCACTGAGCTCACGCAGCAATAACACCCCGAATTCTGCGGCATGTCATCCGATTGAAGGCTTACTGTCTGTCCCCTTGGAGTAGCCGAAACGCCAAATCTTCTAACTGGCAGGGTGACAGGAAACCACTCGGGTCAGCGTTTCTCAAACTGGGGTTCCGGGATGCCCAGGAGTCCATGGGCTGTTCCGGGCAGAACCCATGAGAATTTTTGTTTTGTCTTCCTATTCTGAAGCTTCTTATTTTAGTGTCCATGTTTGCGTTTAACTTTACAGTCGCATGAAGCCTGAGCGAACTCGCGAAGGCATACCATTCAGCTTTCAGTGGGGTTCCCTAAAGTCGGGGTGGGGATCTCTGAGAGTCATTCACACGGCTCGGGGTGGGGGGGACTGTCCCCCACCAGGCCCTGGGCCGAGCAGCGTGGACACAACAGTGAGCAAGACGCGCCTCATATTCTGCTCTCCTGGCACCTTCTAGTGGGGGGTGAGGTACAGCGAGGAGGAAGTAAATGGGAGAAATGCAGCGACGACATGGTCTAGCGATGCTGTAAGGACATGGTGATCAGAGTTATTAAAAGGGATCCTTTTAGAGGGGGCGGGGGTAACAGGACTTTCTGGAGACGTGAAATTTCAGCTGAAGCCTAAACGGCCAAGAGAAGCAACCCATGTGAAAGGGGTCACTGTCGAGGGGGGGTGGGGCACCCCAGATGAAGGGAATGGCAGGAGCAGGGCTCTTGAAGTAGCGGATTTGTCATGTTCAGGAGTGGCGAGCCCCTTTGAAGATGAGTATTGAGAAATAGGAAGCCACAGTGTGTCGTAACTAACAGGAGTTTCTCACACCTCTGCCTGCTTCTCCCCATCTGAGCTGAGAGCATCCTGCCCAAGACGCCCGAGAAATCTCACCTGAGTCTATCTCCCAGACTCCTCTCCTGCTCTTTCCAGTCTCTTCTGCTCGGAGGGTTCAGAGCCTTATTGACTACGTCCTGTTTTTCTTAGGCTAAAGAGCAAAACCCTTAACGTGTCCAACAAAACCCTGCGTCCACGTTCTGTCCTGCTCTGGCCCACTCCCTCCCACGCTCCCTTACCTCAGCTACCTGGCGTTTCTCTCTACCTCGAGCATCCGAGGCTCCCGCCCACCACAGGGCCTTTGCATACGCTGTTCCTGCTCCCTAAAAGGCTTTTGACCCCTCACCCGCCCGAACGCCTGTGCCTGTCCCTGACCTAGTCACCCTCAGAGCTGGGTGATGTCACTTCTCAGAGACCTTTTCTGTGCCTCAGACTGGGTTAAGCCCCTTTTCTACACTCTGCCAGCCTATCTTTTTCCTCCACAGAACATACCACATTTGTTTGTGTTTCGTTGTTGGTTTTGCTTAACATGTGTCTCCCTTACCAGACTGTAAGTTTCTCAAGATGAGACCATGTCTGTGAGACGCTGTACCCCCTGACACAAAGGAGGAGCCAAATAAACACGGGGCGAATAAGCAGACAAGCACACCACCTGATCCAAGATCACATCGGCTCATGTCTCCCCTCTTTGTGTAGAGAGGGAAGAAAACAGTTCTTTTTAACACGCCCACACACGTACTTACAAAAAAAGAAAATGCGAGTCTTGCAGTGTAAAGACAAGGACACGCTGGAGTGGCTGGCCCGCCTCCGTTGTGTTCATTCTGTTCAGTTTGTTTTTCTTCTTGACCTACAGTGGGGTCTTTCTGTGCTTGCACCAGCTCTAACAATAACACCTACTGGTGTCTGCGTACGGTTAACGAGACGCACAATTTTCTCTTCTGCGAGTTCGCCACGGGCTTCTTGGAGTATTTCGATATGAATACAGATCCTTACCAGGTAAGTCACTATGTTTCCATTATTTCTGAAGGTTACCGAGAATAGAATAACCAGCACACGAGCTTAACAATGTCATCCCGGCCTCTCGATCCACAGCTCACCAACACAGTGCACACGGTGGAGCGAGGAGTTCTGAATCAGCTGCACGTCCAGCTGATGGAGCTGAGAAGCTGCCAAGGGCATAGGCAGTGCAACCCCAGACCTAAGGGCCTCGAAGTGGGTAAGGGAAAAACTTTTGTGTTTGTCAAGGGAACATTCTTTTGTGTTTGTCAAGCTTTCTACCTTTGAAATGTTTATATGCATAGAAGCATACAGTTTGGGATAATTCGAGGGAAAGCTTTCCAGGCAATGCCAAACATAACTTCTCTAAATTTCGTTCTGAGTATATTAATGAAAAATGTAACGCGCCAAAAGGTTTGGTGAGGGTTTCATTACAGACTCTCCCACAGGTCTAGTCTGTCAAACCTCAATTCCTGATAGAAGCAACCATCGGAAGATGGGACAACAGTGTTGGGGATTTATTTGTCATTGCTGTCAACAGTCATAAGACATACTCTAGGTAAACCAGGATATCGTATTCTTTTTAAGAGAATTTGCACAGAAACGCTTAAGGTCCCATTTTTTACTTATCACAGTTTGGAGCTCCCCCGTTTGGACCCCCGCTCATGACACAGTGAATTAATTTCTTTTGCCAGCATTTCCCATGTGAAACTTGAGATATTTGAGCCATCGTCGTCTTGGGATCTGAAAACGTAAGCGGGCCCGTATGGAACCCACCAGATGTTCTCTCCCTGGTCTGAAGTGTTAAAGTAACTTGTTTCTCCTTCGGCTCATGGGGATGCAGCCCTTTGCAGTGTCCGCCCCAGCTCTTTCCTAGTTAATGAGAATACTTATTTTCTTATAATTCTTATAGAAATGTAAATACCGGCTGTCCATAGAAGGAGAAAGAGTTGAACTAGGCCAAGGCCATTGACATCGGCGCAGCACGCCAACCCCCAAAGGGTAACGAGCTGGACTCACAGACAGTGGGGAGCAGTTTGCAGAAACCCTCTGTTATACAGCTGACTTTTCTCAGAGTCCTTAACAGCCTGTGTCTCTCTGGGTCCTGCACAGGGCCAGCATTGCCAGCCATAAAACTCAGCAGCTCCCTGAGTCATGTGACTTTGAAGGGATGGGGGTGGGGAGCATCCTAAAATGATCCTCTTCATCACCTGTCATTTCTACCATTTTAGGGTCCTGAAGGCTTTCGAGCTGTGACAAAGTCCCATAAGACATTATAAATCCTGTGTGAGAGGTCTCATATCAGCTGTCAGTCAACCCTTCTCAGTCAGCGCCTTAGCGAAATTAGCCGCCAGCGGGAAGAGTCCAGCCCTCGCTCGCAAACTAGGTCTTTCGGTCGCTGACCCCACTCCAATCTTTTCAAATATCCTGCTTATCTGTTGCCCTTTTCCTCAAATCTTACAAAAAGAAAAAAAAAAAAGGCCTGGAAACTAATCCAACTATTAGAGGCACTGGAAATATTACACCCAGGTATTTCTCCCCCAAAGAACGTAGCACTCTCGTCGGTGATGACATAACTCTACTTGGTGAAACCTGATAGAGTCTCTCTACGGCGAAATGACACACCAGGGGGAGCCAGTTATTGCTGATATGCTTCGTGTGGCTCTCTCCACTTTCCAGACAACTCCAGAGGGAGATGATTATCGGCCCTTTTCTTCAAGTGTTTTGTCTAAAAATAACCAGAATTTAACTTTTACTGAGACTTCCACAGACGTGGGGAAGGACTTCCTTACTTACTGCTTTTAAATGGGTTCTCCTCCTTTCTCGTGTGAACTCCGATATGTTTTATCTTAAACCTTTTTATTTATAGCTTTCAATCTTCATTTTGAACCTGTCTAATAGAAAAGCTCTGTCGGACTTCAGCACTGTCTGTATTCAACACAATATGTTCCTTTCTAGGATTTGGATGTTGTGCATGAAACACTACACTTCATAGCGAACGGTTTTATGAGTCCTAAAGCTAACATAAATTACTCTGTTATTTTCCTATATCAGGAAATAAAGATGGAGGAAGCTATGATCTACACAGGTATTCACACTTTTTTATTCTTCGCTGGCAGCTCCTTTCCCAATAATTGCATGATCCAGCCATTTCGACTAATTTCTGTTTCTTACCGTGTTGCACAGAGCTTAGCCGGGGTGCATGCATGTTCTAACAGCGCTCTCCACCGTCTCGTGTCCTTGGCTCCCGACCTGTCATTTTGCTTCTAAATCGACTCACTGTCACAACGAGATGTCTCAGGGCATTTCCTCGCCCCCATGCTTGTTTGCTTGTCGAATGATGCTTTTCAGCATGGAATGATGGGAAGGGTGGAAGACCAGAAAGACCTTGGGGAGCCCTGGGAAGAGGGCGGGAGAATGACGTTCCTTGACTTGGCGGCGAGGCTTCGTGGAAACTAGAGATTTTCATGAAATATAACGACAAAGGCACGAAAGGAGTCATGGGATTTTTAAGAGTGTGTTTTAAAGCTGAAGTTGGAGGACACCGCAGGCGCTTCCTTGTTACCAGTCCTTAGTTGGCTTTGGTGGTGAAGAGCTGTAGCGATATGATTCAGAAGGCTCTGCGGGGTGGTGGCGATTGCAGAGAAGATGCTGGGGTTGGGGACCGGGCGTCAGGAGTAAGGCGGGCAAAAGGTCTCGGCACAGCAGGGAGATGACAGAGCCTGGCACACAAAACCTTTCTGAACAGGCCTCAACCCAGTTATCTTACCCTCTCCAACCCTTACCCGTCCCTCCTACCTCACCGTGCTCTAGAGGCGGGACCCAAATGCCTGGTGGCCAATGTCACTTGGTCACCCGGCATCGTCAGCCCTTGCTAGCTTTCCACTCCAAGCATAGACATCAGGTGGTTTTCTTGGAAATGTGCCATGAGGGGCAAGAGAGGGAGAGGGCTGTCCTTACCACCTCACTAAGGAGAAACTGGGGTGCAGTGTGTCAGCACCCTACTTCATGAATCTGCTTGGGAGAAAAAAGAAATTCCATCAAAGGAACGTGGACTTAACTGGTGCCATTCCTACTCATATGGTCTCAGAGAAACGAAAAAATGTGGACATTTCGGGGCTCCTCGTCTGCCCACTGCCATCTCTCCAGTCTAGGGAGCCGGGGTCTCTGACTCCTCCCTTTAGAGGGCGGCTCAGTCATGGGTCTGACCCCGAGCTAAACAATAGGAAAGAGGGTGGGGAAGATGTAAACAAAGAAAGCTGGCCTTCTGAGGCTACTCGATAACCGTTTCTATCTCTTCTTTCCCCTCCTCTTCCGTTTCTCCTTTCCTCGGTCCGCCCCCACACCGGCCCTGCGTCACCCCCTAGCACACGTAAGACAGAGCAGAAGAACCCACTCTTAAGCTGGCCTCACCCGGGATATGGGCTGACGAGGTAATACCCCATCCATCAGCACTGGTTCCCAGGGGGCACATTAAAATATTTCCAAAGCGTGGCATTGTAAACGGACCTAACACTAAATATTGACTTTATAGCTATTGTATGATGCACTCAATTTTAGAGCTAAGGGATTTCGGTCTGGCCTTCTTTTACTTCTGACATGAGAGAGGCAAAAGGATATTAATAGGTTATTTAAGACGTAGGCCCGGTCAGGGCCGAGTCAGAATTCTCCTCCATCGAGTCATCCCTGGACAGACTGAAGATGAAGAACGTGTCACTGAACTACAGCGAGCATCTGGGCCACCTGCCCCTCTCCTGGACCCTGCCACCACCACGAAATGGGGCCAAATGCGTTGTTTGAGTTGTTGGCAGAATCCCCTCTCTGGTCATTTGACCATTGAAAACGTGGGTGCAGGGCGAAATAGTGTTACCGGTTGCTTTTTTTCCCCCTCTCCTATAAATTCCTCACCAAAGGACAGATTTAAGACACCCTGTAACTCAAAACGACTGGCATTTTCAGATGCCGCCTTCCCAGAATCCATGAGGCAAGCTGTCTCTCGACTCGCTGTCCAAGGTGCAGGCGGGAAATCGTGCAGCAGGGTCCCTGAGAGAGCGTTTGCCTGTCACGCACGTCCCTCCCAGTGGCACTGCTCGGGGGGGATTCAGAAGCCTTGGTTCTTTAAGATTTGGGGTTTTATTTTTAGAAAAGTAGTTTAAATGCATTTTAATTATGGCATTTCATCACAAAAGACTGAGAAAAAAGATAAGCAACCCTGAAAATTTTGAAATTTAAAAATCGTGTTTTAGAAAATTTATCTCATTGACTAAACAAGCATTTTTAAAATGCCTTTGATTTTGTGGATTTTCGAAAAATTAAACCTTAGACTTGTTTTTTAAGGTCTTCTACAAGCAAGTCCGTTCCCTATGCAACTTCATTATTTATTCATGTGTTTAGTTTTTGCTGTCGGTGGGGGCTGTCGAAATGCTTTGCTCACACACAGTGGTCATTGTTTCAGTGAGGACAGCTCAGAGTCAGGACGCAGTTCAGAAAGTGGTGACTCAGGAAATAACTTTTGGCTTGAGTTGAAAGCAATAATTTCTGTGTTGCAAAACAGTGTCGTGAAGACAGGTTGATGGGGCGTTTCTTTTTTCCACTGCACACGAAAGCTGATACCACCGCCCTGTGATGTCCAGCAGAGCTCCTGGCAGGCATGGTGTGTGTCCAGTAGCCATGGCGTGGACAGTCAGTCCTTGGCAGCCTGACGCTGGCAGGGCTGGTTCCTATTCCGCGCCCTGCAGGCTCACACACACTGCGCTCCACCCTCGGCAACCATGCTTCTGTCCAATTTTTGCTTCTTTGACTCATGTGCCCCTGTAGCAACAGTCTGTGCCTTACAGATGGAAGTGGGTGACTAAGCTGTGTATTAGAGGCTGTATTAAGACTGTAGTTAGAGCAGACACTGGAGCCAGACTGCCTTGGGTTCAAATCCCAGCCTTTCAGCTAGTGAAAATCTGAGAACAGAGTCTAGCATGTATTAAACCCCTGTTCCGACAGGTTGTATTACTAAGGCATAACGTGGGATGCAAAAACATTTTCACGAAGGGGAAAGCATCTGAAAGGGGAGAGGAAGTTAAGTTACTATTCCAAAGAATGTTAGCATATTTTATAAGAAGCACAAAAAGGGACATTCATCACCAGCACCACCATCTTCATCGTCACTCATGGGTGACCCAGAGGTCAGCACACAAACCCATCATCTGCACTGTTGGAGCCTCTCGAGGTCACTTCCGTGCTCTGTGTCACTCTCACGAAGCGCCCCCTGCTTCTCTGTCCTCTCTCACATCCCCGGCCTCCTTTTATGTGTGAGCTGCTGGCTAGCAGAGCTGCACGTGTCTGTTTAAGGTGCTTGAGCAGGAGATGAGTCAAGGCCAGGTTCAGGGGTTCTAGGGGCGGGAGGTGAGGTTCGCCTCCTAAGGGGACGCAGGAGGTTAGTGTCTGAGTTGTCAGGGGACAGGTCCACGCCAATGCCATGGCCTGAGGTTGTGCACTTTGCTGCCGTGGAGGAACAAGCAGGCACTGAAATCCAGTGGACAAGCCAGGCCAACTGGCGGAGTAAGATGTTCTTCACACCACCTGAAGGTAATAGGGAGATATTCGGGAGTGTGGAACTTGGAGGAATAATACGAGAGGATTTGGGTTGATGAGATGAGGCCACAAAGAGTTACAAGGACAGATTAAACACCAGTCCTTTGCTCATCGCTTCCCGGTTTGGGGACCATTTGCTAACGTGGTCCCATTACTTCCAGCCCTCTCCTAAGCACTTCCCGTATATTAAGTCATTTAATCTTCGAAACAACTTTGTGAGGTCTGTACTGTTATTATTCCCAATTTACAGATGAGAAAATTGAGTCAGAAGGTGACTGCGTTGCGTAACCTTCCCGAGAGTACATAGCTGATAAATGGCGGAGCAGGTAGTCGAAATCGGGGCGTCTGGTTCTAGCACGTGCTTTTAACCTCCACACGATACTGTTTCTCTTGGACAAGTTAGCTAACCTTTTTATGACTTAACTTTCTCATCTGTGGGAAGACGATAGTAATACACGTCAGAATGTAATAATACGTCAGAATGACACGAGCGAATACCTGAAAATTGATTAGCATAAGCCCACAATGTATGTCCTTCTACGACTGGTGTTTGATTGAAAATTCAAAACCCAAATCAAATACGTTTCAACCTAAAACAGGTTGTGTTTCAAGCAGCATGAAAATCACCCAGAACACACACGGATTTGGTCCCAAATATCGGAAACCCCGTCTGTGCCATTAGAAAAACATGCACAGAGAACAGAAACACAGAAGGGTTAGGAAAAAGGATTCATGTAGCAGTGCAGACGCTCTGTTCCGGCTCTCACTTCCGAAAATCAAATCGGTGCCCTCAGGACTGAACCTTGGGAGGAGAGTAGCCATATTCATCGAAATGCCCTTCCAGTGAGCACTGATCAACAAAGCTGCGACATTTTATGAATTTCTGGCTGAACTATTCCTTGCTCTTTGAAATTGTAGACACCCAGCCAGGTGAGATTCAAAGTCTGCTGTTGAGCACAGATCCCCCAAATCATACAGATGGGCGTGGGAATAAGGGGCTCACAGAGCGCTGAGGAAGCCAGAGAACGGGGAGCAGAGGAATGATGCTCAGGGTGCATCTCGAAGACTGAGAGCTGACCAGGGTGATGAGGCACAGAAGCACAGTCTCGAAATCAATACGACGTACTCTGATTTCTCTTCGAATCGCATAAATCTTTCACCTTGGAAATAAATACAGTAGCTCTGAGGAGGGAGAGAGCCCGGTGCTTTCAGGAAACCGGATGTTGTTCCGTGAGGCTGGGGCGCAGCCCATATGGAGAAAAAAGAATGGACAGGTTGAGACAATTGGTACAAGTCAGTCTGTGCGGAAACTGTCCTTTCTGCTTCTTGTGACACCGGTTGCTCTTGTTGATTGTAACGTGGCTCCAAGAAGCATCAAAACTCCAGGCACATGAGATCACCAGGTCACCATGTAGAATATCGCATGACATAAATATGTGGCCATGTCCTTAAACATAAATCTATGTCATCCAGAAAGAAAGGTGACTCGGCGTGAGACCTGTGCGGGTTTTTGAATCTCCCTTAGTAGTTTCACAATCTTTGTTTCTGGGGTTGGGTGAGAATTACCTGTAACTTGAAATCATCTACGTTTATTCTGAAAATTTACTTTTCTGAACAAACCGAGTCACGCCTTTCCTCTCTGAACAAAGAACTTCAGCATGGCCCCGGGAAGGGGCCTCGTTCTGTGGCATGAGGACTGGCAGAAACCAGGACAGACCTGGGGTCTGTGCCACCACCTCCCCGCTTCATTATGGTTTTGTTATTCATTCGAAATAGAGCAAGGTTGGTTGATTTCTGTTTGTAATCCATCCATTTTAGGTTCTGTTTTTCCTCGCCATTATTCATTTAATTTTTTTGAGGTGGGGGGAGGGTGGTATGTAAAGCATTAACATAATTCTAAGAGCCAAAACTTCAAAAAGAAGGCAGGAGGGTTTGGGTTGACCAGACTGGGTCACATATAGAGTTAGAACAGTTCTGTGGGTCAGATTAGGCACAGATTCCGGCTCCAGCTCTCGTGCGGGGAAATGTTACTTCTTCCCACAGCCCCTCCCCACCCACGCACTGGAGATAACCGTTCTCACCGGCGTCCGCTTTACGCTTTATTCCCGTTGTTTTTTGTTGCAGCAATACGCAGATGGTATATATTTTACTTCTCTTACTTTTTTACGCAAAAGGCAGCATACCGTATGTGCCGTATTGCGCTTGGTTTCTTTTTCACTTAAAACATGATTTTTACTTTAAAATAGATCCTGTCAGTTCATAGAGATTTCTTCACTCTCTTTTGACGACTTCGTAGTATTCCACTGTGTGGATGTACCATAGCTTAGTCAACCACTCTCTTATGTACGGGCATTTCTGTCACTCTCGTATTTTGCACCTACAAAGAGTGCTGCAATCAAGACCTCTGTGCAAATATATTTTATATTGTTGAGGATATCTTCAGAGGAAATTCCTAGCTGTGGGATTGCTGAGTCAACAGGTAGATGCATGAATGGATGTATTAAATATTGCCAAATTGCCCTCCATACAGGTTATCATTTTGCATTCTCGTCATCGGCGTATGAGTGTCTGCTTTCAACAGCTGTCAAGCTTTTAAAATTTTTTTCCAATTGAATGAGAAGGAAAGGGTCTATCGGTATGGTTTTAATTTGTATGGCTCTTCTCATGGGTAAAATTGAACGTGTTTTTGAAAGTTTAAAGGCCATTTTACTTATTTTCATAGATTATCTGGGTATGTCTTCTGCCCATTTTTCTATCTGGTCTTTGAAAGGATTATTGGGAAGAATTGATAACTTTATGATGCTGAGTCTTCTCTCCAAGAACAAAGAATATTTTTCCACTTCGTATCACTTGCTTTGTATACTTCTGGGTGTTTCAGGAGCTTTTAAAAGTATTTTTGTATAGGCGTTGCACATTCCTTGTTACGTTTATTCATAAAAGTGTTTTATCTTCTTTGTTGCTATTGTAAAGAGGGTTTTCCTCCATCATTAAAACTTGATTGCTGTTTGTAAATTCTTACTTGTTTTTAATCCGTTTGACCTGTCTTGGATCGAGTATCTCCTATTATTATGTTCCTCTGTCTTTCTCATTCTATCGTCTATCGATAACTTCTTCTTTATAAAGCTGGTTGCTCTTTATTTTTCCCTTTGGAACTTAGTAGGGTTTATTTTTGTGCTCTTGGTTGCCTTCGAACTTACACATTTTTAATGTCCCTGCTTCTTATTTAATCTTTCATTATCTCAGTGGTCAGTTTTCAGTGGTGTTCTTTGACTCTCAATGACTACCTGAGCTCTACTCTCAATGAACTTATTCTCTTTCAGCTTTTCTATCTTTCTCTCCATCTTTAGCTGCATTATTTCCACTTTGTCATATAAAATGGATAGTACGTGTTTACCCTCCCCCCACCTTTGTTTCACTCCTAGATCTGGTAAGTATATTAGATGCTCGCCACCATTCCTTCTGAAATCCCCCAGTGAGTTCTCGGTCCAGTGCAGCTCGTCTTCCGGAAGACTGTTTGAGAAGAGCTAATGTGTACAGTATTCCCTGCATTCTTACATTTTGAAAACTGTTTTTCTATAGCCTTGATATCTGAAGGAGAGCTTGGCTAGACGTAAGATCCTTGGCTCACACAGTTATGTCTGATTTAAGATGGTTTTCACATCTTCAGATGCTTGATTTAATTTACTTGGTAGTGCTGTGTCGTGACTTTTTTCACTTTATGGTATACTTTGGCAGGGGGCATTTTCATAAGATGATAGATTTCTTATTTTCCATTTTATTTTATAATAATTTGGTGTAAATTCAGGCTGCCTTATTCATTTCGTGGATTTGAAGCGTTCACAAGATTCCTAGATGAAGAGATTCTGTCGATGTAACCAAGTATACTACGTTTTTCTTTTTTTATCTTATTATTTAGGGGTGGGAGTGGGAGAGATTGTATGTCCCCAAGTTTTCGTTTTTCTATTTTTCTTGCAGGACCTAAAATTGACCCCCTTTCACTTACTTTTTCTCTTCTCACCCAGTTTCCAAAGGGTGCACCTCGCTTCTTTTGTATCTTTTTCCCCCTGAGGCAGTGCCATGCGAGGACAGCCACTTTGATTCACGCACGCTGAGGTCCCCTCCTCATTGTCACCACCGCGATTTCCCGGGACTCTGCAGCATTTTATGCTTCAGGCTGACGTTCTTTTTAGCGATGGTTGCAAATCAGTTCTTATTTCCACCCTCACTTCCTTCTTCTCTTTCTTATCCATACTGTTTTCCTAGGGCTTGTGCCCAAACTGTGAACTACGGCTCTGCCAGGATTTGATGTTAACTTTTTTTTTTACTTACAGGTGACTTGAAGATTATATAATTTTTTATCTTCTAGCGAAATTGAGAGTGTGAGTTTTGTATAGTTTTACTTATTCTTCCTACCGATCTATATTACTTTTGGGGTAGTTTACTGCATTAATCGAGGCCATCTCTTCGAGACGGCACTTGGGTGCAACTAGAGAAGAGATATTTTCTGCACAAGTATAATCATCTTGGTGATTTAGAAATATCAGAGAGAGAAGCTGGTGCATGCTTTGCATACTGTGAAAACCACTGAAAGATTGACTTAGCGATGGCAAAGAACTTGTAGGGCAAAAAAAAAAAACAGTCAAAGAAACAGATTCAAGCATTTGTTTGTTTTTATACTGCATACCAGGGAATATAAAATAAAAATCTCACTAAGCATTGCCTATTACATTAAAATACTTTCATATCCATCACTCACCAAGCAACCGCATAAGTAGTAAAGGTTTTATCACACATCGATTCCCACATTGGACAGATGCTGGACCAAGACTCAGACTCACTCACGTGACTTCCTGGTTACAGAGTTGACTTGCGTAGAGCCAGGAATAAAACGTGAGCCCCCTAACTGACACCAACTGTGCCTAATCATAGTTTTCACTCATTTGATCCTCTTTCCAACTTTTTGTTACTGTTTGATCACATTTGTAACCTAAGGCCACTCCTTGAAAACAAATTGCTGGGGGAAAATATTTCAAATTGATTTGCGCTGTAAAAAACGATGTAAGTCGCTTGTCCAAAAGTAGGAAATGTTTTCTCCACTAATGACCCACCTTCGTCTCTCTTTTCACAGAGGACAGTTATGGGATGGATGGGAAGGTTAATCTGCCTAGTCTCCCGGCAGACGTCAACTGGCAAGGCCTGGAAGATTTGTACGGTGTGAACGAAAGCATCTATGAATACAGACGGAACTATAGACTTAGTCTGGTGGACTGGACTAATTACTTGAAGGATGTAGATAGAGTATTTGCACTGCTGAACAGTCACCACGAGCAAAACAAAGCAAATAAAAGTGCTCGGAGCGGTGGGGTCTCGGCCGTGTCTGCTGAACTCTCTGTGCCAGCAGAGATGGCCTCCGCCGAGTCAGATGCAGACCCAAGTCGTACGGTTGGGGGAGCCCCTCATTTGACCTTGCCAGCTGACCTTCGAACCCTGCATTTGAACCGACCAACATTCAGTCCAGAGAATAAACTTGAATGGAATAACGACATTCCAGAAGTTAATCATTTGAATTCTGAACACTGGAGAAATCATAAAACTGACGGATGGATGGAGCGCGAGGAGACGAATCATCGTGAAACCGATTTCAGCGGCAATGGCGTGGCGGAGCTGGCACTGGAACCCCGCCCCGGGCTGCAGCCTGCCGGTAGGCCCCAGAAAGAGCTTCCTCACGATGGGGGACCAGGGGAAGATGTTTTCGAAGATCGGCTGTATCTTCCTGTGCGTTCTGACGTCGGTCCCCTTCATCAGACGGTCCAAGTGTCCACCTTGGAGGAGGCTGTCAACTCCAGCAGCACAGACAGCAAGTGGAACGAGGTGGAGGAGAGTCTCGGATCGGGGAGCTTACAGACCCGAGAGGGCGGCACCTCCTTCCCACTCTCCTCTGATTAGATGAAATTGCTACCTTACCGGAAACACAGTATTTTTTAAACTTTTTATTAGCTCACTAATAAAGGCAATCATGACGACCAACATTCCAGGCTACCCTAGGTACATGCGTGCAGCAGAAGTCAGTGTGCATGCAAGAGATGCAGGGACTCAGCGTTGTGACTCACCATGCGTCGAGCGGAAAGGTGGATTCGTGGGGGTTGGTTTGGGGCTGGGGGCACTAAAACAGTATTACCTTCTGAAGGTCGCAGGGCCATGCGTGTATAAATGCTAGCCAGTGACGATGGCCAGAACGGTGCCGTGCTCAGTTGCTGGAACGACATCCTCAGTGAATCGTTCAAAACACTCTCCACTGCCTGCATCACGTGGTTTTGATTCATTTTCACCACTGGAATCTTTCGATGCCGTCATTTGTAGTTCAGTCATTTTGCACTTTGAGATCGGAACGCCATGTCTATTTGGTTAGTCTTTTTTTTTTTTTTTTTTAAACAGGCTTGTCAGTCTCACTTCTGGCTCTCAGTGTGACAGAGTGAAATAGACGGCCCAGGACGACATACAGTATGGATCCCATATTGTTTAACATATGCTTTCGCCAGAAAATATTGCATGCGTTTTACCTCGACTTGCTAAAATCGATTAGCAGAAAGGCATGGCTAATGATGTTGGCAGTAAAAATAAACAAATAAAACAAAGTCCGCCTGCTCTCTCTGTGCCTAGCCTCAAAGTTTCACCATATGCTTACCGTCGCTAAATTTTTATTATTTTCTTAACAGGATAAAAGGACTGAAGACTTTTTTTATTCATCTTTGTTTTCCTGACCTGGCTAATAAGCTTACATGTTGAGAAAATATGTTTCATTTTGAAGTTATATAAGGAATTTTTTTCAATAAAACAAACTCATGAATGTTTCATAATTTAAACACACTATATGTGTTATATGATTATTTTTAAGGCCTTCGCCAAGTTTGGTTTTTTTAAAGGTATAGGTCAAAACTGCTTTTCAAATTCTGCGTTCTTGAAAATATTCGTTTTATGTATTAGATTTTTAAATACCAGCAAAAGGATTACCTCATTGAAAGTTACCAGTATCCTAATCAACTTCCCAAATATAGCTTAACGGTGATTTTCTCTTTAGATAATTCAAACATATAGGTAAATTATGTTAATTATGTTTTCTTTACATGTTTAAGGTAAACTCTTTTGAAGAAAATTTAATATGTTATAGTTGAATCTTTGATAACTTTAAGTCTTTATTATAGACTCTGTACATATGTTAAAATTAACTAGCTCTTTATCAGATGCGTGTGTCACCGGCTGAATGACAGAAGAAACATATTTATGGTCATGAATGATGTGCTTTGTAAAAAAGTTTCAAGTTATTAGGAAGCATACTGTGTTTTTTAATCTTGTGTAATATTCTGTGATACTTTTATAGAACAATTCTGGCTTCGGAGAAGTCTAGAAGCATTATTTCTTGAAATAAAAGGTGTTTAAACTTTACCTGTTTCAGAAGAATGAACTTAACCAAGTTTTTGTGGTACACTCATTCCTTGCAAATAAAATTAAGTCCTGATCTCAATTCGCATGATTGAATATTAGCTATATCAGTAAAATTGCTCCAAAGTCAGTGTGTTCTAGAACATTCTCAGATTAGCGATCACAACATGGATTTGTCTTGTCGCTGTGGCAGAGGCAGCACCTGGACGGCTCCCCGGGCCTGCCACCTGGGCAGCTGCACAGGGCTAGTGCCTGGTTCAATTCTCTACTATTGCCATCTTGAAATCCTTAATAATTTTTTAACAAGAGACCTCACATTTCCATTTTTCACTGGACCCACACATTATGTATCCGGTCCTGAGCAGCACAAAAAGAGTTTTTCAAAAGCAGGAGGACAGGTCCGCCAAAGGCAGTTTGGGTCCTGTGGGAACCATGAACTTTGGTGGAGACCTGACCACGTGAAGTCCGAGACTTCAAGTTCTCCGACTGACAAATCACATGCAGTTCCTTCTGCTCCCTATGTCCCGAGCAGCTCTGTCCCCTTAGGTAGCGGGGCTAACAATCTCTGAAATGCCCAGAAATCAGACGTTTTCACTAATGATAAAGGGGAAAAAAGCAAAGGACTTTGGGATCCGTATTAGCTTGCTGGGGCTGCCATAATAGAATACCATAGACCAGGTGGCTTAAGCAACAGAAACTTATTTTCTCACAGTTCTGGAGGCTGGAAGCCAAGACCTGTCCACAGGTCTGGTGTCTCCTGAGGCCTCTCTCCTTGGCTGATAGACAGCCGCCTTCTCATGGAGTCCCCACGCGTCCATTTCTCTGTGCACACGCATCCCTGGCATCTCTCTTCTTATACGGACACCTGTCACATAGGATTAGGGTCCAATCTTAAGACTTCGTTTAACCTTAATTACCTCTTTAAGGCCCTGTCTCCTGATACAGTCCCATTGGGGCGGTTAGGATGTCAGTACATAAATTTAGCGGGGACACAATTCAGTCCATAACTCCACAGTTTAATCAAGAGAAGAATCCAAAGTAGTAGTGTTATCTAAAGTCACGTCATTGTGCCTTCCTCCTGTTCCTTTCCTATAAAATGTGACTAGGCCAAATGTTGCCATCCTGGAGAAAATTCCATTTTAGTTTGATTCAATGACTATGGAGTACCTACTAGGAGCACAGGGCCCAAGAGTCACTATTTCAGATCTGGAAGGGCCCTTAGAGACTGCCTGGCCGACCGCCTCATTCGATCTGCCCATCAGGCCATCCCCCACTGACTTAGAAAAGGGAGAGATTCAGCAGAGGCCAGGGCCAGCCCCTCTCCACTTCTCTCTCTCTCTCACACACACACACACACACACACACCAGATTAAGGAAGAGAGGTCAAAGAGTGACCCCATTTGGTCAGGAGCAATGGAAAGAATAATGAACAAACTATGAATAGTGCCTGGTGGGCACTAGACTAATCGGGAGGATCATTTTGTAATTTATATAAACGTCTAACCACTATGCTATACACCTGAAACCAATATTAAATGATACTAAGTGTCAACTCTGACCGGAAGAAAAATAATGATTAAACTAAACTAAAATAATTTTTGAAAGAATAATGGACATGAAAGTAAAGACCTAATTTCACGGCAAACTCTAGTTTTTACTATCTGTGTAAGCTTGGAAAAGTCACGTAAACTCTCTAAAACAGCTTCCTCAACTGTAAAATAAAAGGTGTGAATTGAGGATGCAAATGTACAGCGTATGTGCTTTCTTTTTCCCAAAAACGTGCCCAGGGAAGACACCGTAATGCTTCCAGAAGCTTTTCCATTAAACCGGAGCATCTGTGCCCTTCGAACCATCCTCACCGCAGCCGGCTGCTTCTCCAGTCAGCTACTATCGGCACTGTTGAATGGATGTTGGCACGTGAGACAAAAACCTATCTGCCATGCCTCAACTACATAGGATAGTTAATATCTGAGGCTCCTCCCAGCTTAAAAAAAAAAAAAATTCTACGATCACCAGTCTCTGCAGCATGTTTTGACTGAGAGAGAAAGAATAAATACTTAACACCCCCGTCCCATGCCAAATGTACCTGAACACGTCAACTGTCTAAAAAAGATGTTTAAATGTTTATTTTTCTGGACTTTCTTTAGAGCTGATGTGATCTCAGCTATAAGAAGATCCTCAATTTCCCAAATTAGTCCGATTCTGCTTGAGGTTTTCAAAATTCATTTTAATAAAAAACAAAGATTGATCGATAATTCAAATACTTGGGGCAATTAATACCTCGATATGGTTTCCTAGCCTGGTTTGTTTCGGCTCTCATGACATAAAAGCTGCTATGGACACCGAAATAATCCCCTTAGCCCCTTTCCCGTCTCCAGCCCCTGCATCCCACACTCACTGCCAGGTCATTGTCATCACTATGGCTCAACTCAGCCATAAAGTTTGCATTTGAAATTTTACCTTTTCCTTCCCTGAATACTTTCCCGGACTCCCCCACTTCTGGACATAATGTCTCCCCCATTTTACACCCTCCCGCAGGCAAGAGAACACTGACGTGGTACCAAGTCTGGGGCCGACAAAGAGTGTGAAAAACTGGCCGCTTTCATAATCTGTCCCTTCCCCCATTTCTGACCAAGAAACTTACCTAACGTGACTATTGTTAGTGTCGGTCACCTCACCCAGTAGTGATGTTGAAGTAGAAAACTTCGCCGGCCAAAGAGCTCAGGCCTTAGAGGGAGCTGCATGAAGTAAGCGGAGAGAATGACTTTCAAAAATCAGATCTTGTCCTGCCGGGACTAGAATGTCCCTGACCCCCGATGTTGGGGAAAGCACTGCTGAAGGGCGGGACAGAGGGAGATCCGAATGTTGAAGACTTTGGTGCTCAGCGCCGCCTTACTT